GGACTCATCCCTTTGCACTGCCTGTAGTTCTGTCGCCTAAACTCTCTCCGGGACAACAAGATAAATAAGTAACACAGATTCACAACAACGGGTGTTTTTTTTTTATTCCAGGGATAAGAGACAGTACCGGTAGCCCGAGGAATAGGAGTATGGATGGAGACAGAATCTCAAAAGCCCTTCTTGCTCGAAGGAAGCGGTTACGGGTGCATATATACCTTCTTGGAAAGGTGAGAGAGGCAAGCAAAAATATGAACTGAGACGTGGTTTTTAGCCCCTAGTCTTGGCTCTCTTCATGCCGAGGCTATTGTAAGGAGAGATGGAACCAGACATTGGAGACCCTTCTTCTCGAAGACTACCATTGAGAAGGGCCAATTCCCGGAGCTGTTGTTTCTTGTAGAAATCATGGGTTTCCTCCTAAAACAATACGAAAAATTAAGCGTTGTTATACAGAAAAATACTATGCGTATCTCTGGTTTAAGATCTTGGAAGAGCTATGAACAAACCACAGGAGTAAGTAGATCGTCTAGTATTTCACGAGCTTGCATGAGGCGTGCATCCACTATTTCAATGGGTAATTCTGCCTCGACTAAAATGTGGAGTGGTTCATTCAGATGCTCATACCCTGGTTTACCTCTCATCATTTCCTCCTGCAAAAATGCGATGGAATGAAGATACAGATATGGAGCTAAGAAATTATTATCCGAACAGAGGAGAAAACGTAAATACCTTAATCGGATCTTTAATGCTGCCTCTCCCCCTTATCAGAACACGACAATCAGTACTAGCTTCAACTCGTTTGAGGGAGTTTCCTCTAGGACCCAAGAGGCGACCGACAAAATTGTACTACATATAATCAAATCAAAGTTTATAAACTGGGGTTACATAGGTTAGGATCTCAGCAAGGAAGTTAAGGTTTATACGTTTGGGTATTTGTCGACTGGAATATCCACCCTGATTGTTCGCTTGACAATGAGACCTGACGAGCTACCAGGAGAGTTTAGCCAATTTGGTGCTGGAGATGATGAAACAGATCTCTGCAAACGAAATGATAAACCAACAACCTGTTAAAAGCCACGTCAACCTCAAAAGAAGTTAATATTACAGACATATGATTGCAGCATCAAAACCAAAAGAACATTAAATAAATCTTATCAAATGTTTCTTCCACGGAAAAGTGGCAATGTAGTGCGTTGTTGGAAGCTAGCAACCTGTAATTGCTTATCCTAATTCATAATAATCAGAGAATACATATAAAATTTAGAGTATGTTATATCCAACCCTTCACAGCTGCACCTAAAAAATTTAATGGCTCCTGAAGGTAATGGAGTATCTAGTTAGTGCGTTGACCTAAGACAAAAACCTAGCACAACATTACTGATATTCAGTGTTAGCCCAGGCTACCTGTCAATGAGAAACTAGGATTAAAAAGCAAGTCAAAGTAAGCTATGTCAGTACAAATTAAGTCAACTAGTAGTGCAAAAGTATAAATTAGATGAAAAGAGTTTTATGTTAATGGTTAGTAGTCATACTTCTGATGGAAATTGTGAGGCCCATCCGTTCATGTCAGCTCTTGCATTCTGAAATATCCCTCCAGAACCCAGAGGGCTAGGGTGATCAAACCTACTCTGACTTATGGCATTCTCCAACAGCGTGGTTACACGCAAAATTTCTGTTTCAAAAAATGTCAATTTTCAAGAGTAAGACGCACCAGTTAGAATTAGTCATCAAATCCATCACCAATGATCGTGGAATGGAGAGACAGCTTAGTCTCAACTAAGTTAGTGAATTATTAACTTTCAGACACTAATTAAATAGAATGTAACAGACAGCAAGCAAGGACACTAATCTAACTTTGGTATGATCTCTACGAAGAAGGTCACACATGTGATCTGTCAATTATCACAAAGGGTTGTTTATGTGGATGGGATCCCTACGAAGCAACTCAGAATAAGAATTCCCCGAAATTGGATTTCAAGTCAAATTCTTAGTAACATGATCTAAAAACCAATATCTACATCACTGAAAAGTCATTTCTAAATTTTATTAGACCACAATTCAATGAAATACTTGGCAATGTCGTTGTATGTTCTAATTCATAGCAATGTAAAGAAGACTAATTATCTCTTTGGATTGT